TATCAAGAGATAGGTATTATTCAGGTTTTAATTGGCCTAGCAAGTTATTTTGATAGCATGGTATTTCTCAGTTTAGCTCTGCTATTTTGTGCCCACAAATCACACCTGTACGCTCACAGCTGCCAAACAACCCTTGTGCTGTGACATCATGCATGTAAACAGTAATAACAGCAGTACTGGGGCTTTGCCGGGACCTTCTGTCAGACTGAGGAACTGCTGCTGTAAACAATATCCTTGATTCGATAAGGAAAGAAAAAGCATTACTGGCTTGTAGTTCTGGTTTTACTTTTGTTTACGGTTAAAAGTGTTAAACCACCACCCCCTCTGCTTTTCCATCTTGAGTACATTTTGATGCCTAATCCACCGGATGTAATGCACTTTTCTAACTGCCTCGTTAGCATTAATACCAGCGTTCCCTCCTCTGGCTGCAGGTGGCCAGACATTTACATAGGTTTGAGCACCATGGGCAAGAACATGTCTGTCAGTAACATCTGGAGTGCCATCGACACTGCCATCGTGGAGTTCACGTCCAAGGAGCCCTCACCCGCACAGCCGATGCCAGAGAGCAGGACGGTAACGATTGAACTGATGGTGCACCCGGGGTACCCCAGTGTCCCACCCATCGGTGGCTGTGGGGAAGGACCAGACGATTTCTCACAGTCCTGGGAGCGCCTCCATGAACTCCAGACATTAATTAAGCCAGAGCTGCAGAGCCATTACAAAACCAGGAACATTCAGCTTTGTTCATTCAAAGACCTTTAAGTAAACGAGCATAAATACATACATAAATTTATTCATATGCTGAAGATACACAGTTGCTGATGTCCAGAGAAGTCAGACCACTGTTCGCAGTGCAGTACCTCCTGGTGCAGCTGACGGGAGCTGGGAAAGGCATTAGGATGTTAATGGAAGAGCAACACACTGTGAGCAGCTACAGGCAGCACCCCAGAGCCCTGACTGGAACATTTAAGGCCACCACATCTGCTTTGAATGTGACAAACCTCTCCTGCGTCACCCACTCACACACCGTTCCAGCGCAGTGTGGCAGCCAAGGCCCAGCCCTCCTCCCAGGCTC